TTCCCACTGTAGACCCTGGAGAGCAAGCTCCATGGTTCTTTGAAAAGTGTTTGCGGCACAATTCAATCCAAATGGCATTCTTGTCATTTCGTATTGCCCATATTTGCTGACAAAAGCACTTTTAGGAATATCGGATTCCTTCAAAGGGATCTGAAAATAACCCGAGGTTAGATCAAAAGTGCTAAAATATTTTGCTCCTGCTACTGCATCCAAACAATCTTGTATACGTGGTAAAGGGAAACCATCCGGTTTAACTAATGCGTTTACCCGTCTGTAATCCACACAGGGTCTCACAGCTCCAGATTTCTTCCTAACTAAAACTAAAGGTGAGGCCCAAGGAGATGTACTCTTCCTTATGACTCCCATCTTAAGTAAATCATCTATAGCTTTCTTCTCATCATTAGCAAATGCCAATGGGACTCTCCTTGGTGGAAGTTTTACTGGTGCAGCATCACCTGTTGCTATAGGGTGTTCTGTTAAGTGTGTTAGACCAAGGTCCCATTCATTCTTTGAAAAATATTTCCTGATACTTTTGAAGCCAAAATTTGGGTAAAAGGGCATCTGTTCCTTGTTACTTCCCCCTTTTAAATTTAAATTTTTCCAAAAAAAAATCGACAAGTTTATCTTTTTAAATTTGGTTTAAAGTTTCAAAACCCTTTTAAAAAGCATTGTTATTTTCTATATTACCATTGGGGCAAATCCAATTTTTTTATAACCCTCATTGTTTTCATATTTTTCTTGATCATATTCACAAATTTTAATTCTTTTGGGAATTTAAAAGCTAGTTGGGGCCTAAAATGGCCCTTTTGACCCTTTTTTCCGCCCGGGGTTGGGGAAAAGGATTCAGCAACCTTAACTTGCAAGTTTGGGGAAAAAAAAAAACATCCCCCAAAAGTCAGCCCTTTTAAAGGGGATAGTTTCCCTTTAAAATTTCTCTGTTGGCCCCTTTTTTAGAAATTTTACTAGTTTATAAAATCATCACTCTCCCCCCGTTCAACAAAAAAATCTATCACTGCTTCTGATTGTGCAGGAATTATAAAGTCATCAGCCGAAGTTACTCTTCGGGCTCCACATTCTGTGCCTATCTGAATGCACGGGATTTCGTGCTTTCCTAAAATCACAATATTTCTACTCAGCATAATATCAGCTGGGCCATGTTCCCCTTTTTGAAGTATATCCACCCCCAATAATACATCATCTTGTATTTCAGCTACAAAAAGCACCTTTTCAAATTGCAGTTCCCCTAATTTTAATTTAAATTTAGCTTTTCCCCAAACACTAAGCTGTATTCCCCCTGGTCCTGTGAGATTTGACGACTTTTCAAGTACGGGCCTCTGTCCTTCCGGAATACTGTTATAAATTCTGCCTGAAATAACAGTACATGTTGCCCCAGTGTCAGTAGTGAACATTACTGGTATACCTTCTACAGATCCTTTAATGTATACCCCATCACTCAAAGTCCTTTGTCTCCTAATTTCACTTCCCCTTTCTTCACTCATCAATTTGTGACCTTTTTCTAAATATTGGGCCTTCCCTTGGTCTTTAGGGTCAGCCCTTTCTAGTTTAAATGATACTGACTTTGTCCCCTGTAAGTTTGTCCCTGTGCCCTTGTTTGTTGACTTCTGTTTCTATCCCAGCCTTTACCTTCCTTTGTCTCCTCAGCCTTAGTTTCTTTTTTTGGAAAAATTCCCTTTGATGTGTTTCCCTTTTTTCTGCAGTGAAACCCAAATGATTGAAAATTTTACGCTATTAAAATCATAAACCCTTTAAAATTTACCTTTAAATTGTAGATTTTCCCTTTGTTTATCGGGTTTTTTTTCAAAAACCTTTTTTAGTCTTTGAAAAAAATATTTTTTAGCAAATCCTCACTATTTAATTTTCAAAAAATTTGCAAAATTTTCTACTTTTTCCCCTTTATTACAATCATCAAATTTTCCCTTTTTGCCCTTTTCTTCCCCCCCCCCAAATAAACTTTTAAAATTTTCCTTTAAAAGGTTTGCCGATGGTTTTTTTAAATTTTTACTTGCCGCCCCCTTTTGTTTTTCATAAAAAATTTACCAAAATTTTAGAAACTGCTTCTTATAGTTCTCGGCTCATTATGGTATTCCACCTCAAATTTAGCTTCCTCATCCCAGAGTCCATCCAAAAACCTCCTTACAAGATCCTCCTGCCTAGTTCTAGCATCCCTATATCCATGTGCCTTATCATACAAACATTTCAAATCTGCAGCATACTCCTCAGCTGTTTCCCCTTGCTTCTGTGATCTTGCACTGAAATAAGCAGCAAAAGTTTTAGGAGTTTCAATAACTCTGTAACGATTACTTAATTCATTGATAAGCATATCATAATTATTTAATACTTGATGTGGCAACTGCGCAAACGCAAAATCCGCAGCTGCGCCTTCTAATAAAGGCAACAAATTATCCAGTTTCATCTCATTACTCCATCTTTGCCTCCGTGCAATTACCTCAAACCTATTTCGCCATACTTTCCAATCTTCTTTCCCATTGAATGGTGGAAGCTTCATGTTCCTCTGCCTAAGCTCTGCATATCTCCATGCTCTGTGTTCATTCACTCCACGTTCACTTACTCCGTGTTCCGTTGTATCTTCTTCCATAAACACAACATCACCTCTTTTCCCTACGGGGTGAAAATTGAAAATTTTTCCTTGTATCCAAAATTTTCTGCCTTTTCGTGGATGCCCCTTTCATTTCCGGCAAACTGAAATTTGATGTCCCCTTTCACTATTACTAATGCTTCTCTGTAAAAGAAAAATAATCATTTTCCCTTATTATTAAAATTTAAATTTTTTTGTCTACCATCATGGCAAACCTGTTCTTTTTTATGTAAAAGGGCAGCTACCATAATTTCCCGCAGTCTCCTGTAAACCCCCCCATATTTCCCAGTCAAAACCCTGACATTCCATCTTCTACCAAAAATTTCCACCCCCCCAGGCCAGTTCCCCCTTTGGGCTTTTCCCTCCTCTGAGTGTCCCAACATATCACCCCCTTTTCTCCCCATTACGAACACTGGTAATCAGACCTGCTATCAGAATCCTCAACTGCATTGACATCATCTCCCTCTGTTCCTGGGCCATAAGCTACCTCTGACTGCACCTCTTCATCTAATTGCCGATTCTGGTTACGTCTCCTTCCCATCATCTTAGAAAAGTTCGATCACTGGATCTGCCAAAATAACGCTGCAGATCCCACTTCTGACACCAAGAAAAATGTAGTGCTCCGGTGAGCGCCACGAAATATCACGTAATAAAATGATGAGACGATCGGACGTTCAAACGGACAATTGACTGATCACAATGCTAATGAACTAAGGCTGGACTTCGGAAATAAATACTTAAGAATATTACCAGAATGGGGAGATCACCTTAAGAATACTATCAAATGGGGAGACCACCTTAAATAAACCACAAATGTGAAATGATGACTTAAATTCAGTTAAATTTATAACAAATGAATTTATTTTAATAAATTTCTTTAACAATAAACTAATGTCAGGATAGTAACTTTCAAACATCAAATAATGCAATAAAATAATAGCACAAAGAATTGCAAAGAGTTTAAAGTCTGTCAGTGCATTTAAAATAATATTACAGAGTCTACAAGGCTTCCCACTTTAAGTTAAGTTATAAAATAATAAAATGCAATTTCTCATCAAATGCAAAAAAATCTATCTTTAAAATCCCTCAAATAATTATAAGAATAAAGTAATTACTTATCCAAAATTTAATGTCCGAAAATAAATACAGTAGAGTTTGAAAAGAAGATGCAAAAATCAATGTTTACCAAGAGCCAAAGAAAATCGAAGTCCTCGAAAATCTGAGTGGGAACCCTTATATAGTCGCCAAAAATCCGGCAGTCCGGCACAAAAGTTGCCGGAAAACCGTCAAATAAATCTACAGGATTCCCATACAAATGAGGGAAATCCGTCGTAAAATATTGCGGGTTCGAGAAAAACCGTCATAAAATTATGGCGGACAAAACTTTTAGTGACTATTTTTAGACAAAGGTTACATTAATAATTTCAAATAGAATTCTGTTAAATTATCACATTAATACATGCACAAAAGATTTAAAGTCATTATACATACATTTTCTCCAATAAAATCTGCACTGAACCCTTGTAATAAGCGATGCCAGTTGAGAAAACAATTTACTGATAAAAATGTCAGACAGTGAACTTGACCTTGTGATGTCATCACCCACAATTCCAAGCGAGTAGTGGTTGACAGATCAAATGTAAACAAAGCTTATTAAAAATAAAAGCACCTTACATCAGTAACAGGTGATGTCATGCAAGAATACTGGTTTAAATCAATAACATATATCAAAGTAAAAATGAATAGGTGATGAAAACGTATTATTCTTTGCACCTAATGACATAAATCAGTTCTATGAATAGACCTGTCAAATTACGTGAGTTACAGAAAGGTCAACATAAAAAAATCAATACTCCAGTTAAGGTATACCTAATCATCCCATATGTGGGGTACTACATAATCAATACAGTTTTCAAATGCACTGATTATAATGGGTTAGAAAGAACAAAGAAAACGTTCGAAACCATGCTATTGTTATATAAGATTGTAAGGTATATTTTAAAACTTTGACTGTCATATTAGTGGCTGACCAACATTTGATATTGAAAAATATTTAGGATTAAATATTAATCCGCCTTTAACATAAAAAGACTGCCCCATCTTTTTAAAAGGGTAAACTTTAATAGATATTTATGGAAATTTCATTGGGCTACGCGAGTTATTTATCGTTCATATGAGGTTAATTATAAAATTGACAGGAATCATGAAAAAATGTAAACTTATTATGGGACATAACGTCACTTTAAGTTAGCTTTTCAGTTCGTATTTTGGAAATAGCACTCTTGTCATTTAAATACCAAGGAACTGTTCTTAATATGGTTAAATGTGAAATGTATTTATAAATGATAGTCAGTGAGAGTAAAAATTGTATCAATTAACTCACATTTTCTTTTCAAGGTTGTAGGGTCTGTTATTTTGAGGACTTCGTTCAAACAATTTATCAAGTTTCTTGGTATGACGTTTCTACAGCTTTGTACAAATACAACCTTTGTAACCCTGTCAGCAGGATTCGACGTTCGATATTCTTTCTTCAGAAATCCCACACCGAATTGTTCCTGTTTGGACTGCAACGTCGGAATCTGTGTTTCTTTTGGTATAAAACCTACGAAATAGTCGTGAAAAATAAATCAGTAAAAACCTTATTACAGAACATGTATGTATCATGTGTAAGGACATACTTTTAGTACGAGAACAATTGATGCATCTATGGTATAATGTATAGATACATCCAGTATATTCGTTATGAGATCATCGTAGTGTCACAGGTACAGAATAGAGATGCGTTATAAATAAGGTGGTTATGCATGAATTACATGAAGTGTGTCGCCGATACAGGAACAACGCATAGAGTACAGAAAAACCGCATCCTATGGTGCAGATTAATCGCCTGTAGAAAACAGTAAAAATGCCTCGAGTACAGTAGAATCGCTCATAGTACAGTATTGGACCCTGAGTACATAACATGACTTGGATATTTGTTTTAGTACTAAAAGATAATAAAACCACAGGAAATTGACATTGTATAAGCAAATAATTAAAAAATAACGGCAATTATACCTCTATGATATAAATAAACACAAGCAATGCAACGCCTTTTGCACACTCGATACACATCTAATTACACAAGTGGAAAATCAATGTCAACAAACTATACAGCTCACTGACGTCAGCGCATGGAGTCCCAGACAAAATTATTTGTCGACACTTGAGTAAATATTCCCAATTTATTATTATACAATGCTTTGATTTAAAATATTGTTTGATTTTATTAACCTGTCAATTCCATACTGATTATACGGTCAATGCACAGCATATATTAATATTCGATAAATGTTCGGTAAATTCCGTGAGAGGTACGCAGTAAGGTGTGATTAAACTTATCTAGTTTCGATGAATAAGTTACACTGACCGTTATAACGCAATAGGGTGAACTACGGGTATATTTTATCTGAATGTCCAACGTATTGTCAGATCGAATCAGAGTAAGTCCATGTTTTTTTCTTATTCATAACTATTTTCAACATTTTTGAAGTTATGGTTGTTCCGTTTTTAATATGTTTTGCACTTTTTTGTAAATACTATACTTTTGTATATAACATTGTTATATTATAACTGTTTGTTACAATAGAATTAGTTCTAAAAATTCATTCGGATTAAAATCAATAAATGTAATTTTAATACCGTAAAAATACAATACAAAATGAGACAATTCAGTGTTTTTTAGGTGTTTCATATTTGCGTAGACAATTTTGCAGGCGCTTGACCATTTTATTAAAAAATTCTTAAAAATAAAGAAAGAATAAGTGTAAAAAGAATGCCGAAATAAGAGATCGAACCTCGGACCTCTCATGCATTAGGTAATCACTTAACCGACTGTGCTATTGCGGATGTGACGAGAACCTTTCTAAAGCTAGTGGGAGTTTTCCAAACGTTATTTATATACTCCATATTAATTTTCGTAAAATAAAAGGACACAACCGAAGGGGAATCGAATATTTAAATGAGTGCTATAATGTATTCATAATTGACAGGTCAATAAAATCATACAATACCAGCGGTTGTAAAAGTACTAATTTTGTATTGTGTATCGAAATTGCCAAACTAGTTTGTTGACATTGATTTTCCACGTGTGTAATTAGATACAATGTGTATCGAGTGTGCATAATGCGTTGCATTCCTTGTGTTTATTTATAGTATAGATGGGTATATTTGCCGTTATTTGTTAATTATTTGCTTATAGAATGACAATTTTCTGTGATAAAACAAATATTTTCTTTAGTCATTTCATGGCAAAAGAGAAATTGTGGGGAAAAAACACAATGATAAGAGATCTTTGTAAGGTGTTTTGACGAAACAGGAATACATAACATTATCAATATAAATAAATGTATATGTACCTCCTACAAGAAGTTCTAATAGTTCACGTAACTCTGGTGAGTCATCATCACCCATGCCAGGACAATCAACTATATGTGGCAGTTTGTGTACAACTGCAGCAATCTTCTCTCTCCTTGAATCATCTCGAACAGTTTTAAGGTCAACACCACAGTTGTTGTATCTATATAGATTGAAGATTTTCAATTTAAAACTTTTTTGGTAATTATTATTCATTAGTTTTAATTTTCACTGCAAATTTTTTTATCTCCTCACATGATGCCCTGACCCACATGGGTAATAGGTAAGTGGTTTGAACACAACCACTCAGTCACGGCCGCTCCTTTTTTGTCTACTCAAATAAACAAGTAATGTGATGTTAATTATACTTAAAATTGTGTATTTATAGTCTTTGCATATAAAAATCTTAAAATCAATTATCTTTCAATACCTTTATTTCACAAACCTTTCAATGTCAAGGGTAACAGACTGCGCATGACCGGCTCCTTGTCTTGCATAGGTGAAATTTTCTCCAGTTAACACCCTGTGGACGGTATTGAACATCGTACTTTTACCAGCCCCACTCTGCCCAATCAGCATTATCACCTCGGCATCTCGGCCATTATCCAACAGCCTAACAATCTCGTCCAACAATGACGCATTTTCAAGGTCGACTAAATCTGATAAAAAAATATGTAGATATTTCTTGCATCAAACGTGTGACTTTGTATTTGGCGTCTGTAAGTGGTTCTCTATGGTAACGGTTATTGTATACGTCTGCAGGTCGTCATCTATGGTAACGTACATTATACACGTTCAGTTCCGAATGAAGCGATCTGATTGATTAATTGAAATCACGTTATTTTCCTTTTATTCACATTCTTTTGATTAAATATGTAATTCATAATGATATATTTTGACTAAAAGCAGGAAAAATATCTAACATCTAACTAAACCGCTAACTAAATTGTTTCTATGACACTATATAATTTAATTTACATCCCAACGGACACACTGGTTTGTTTAATAACAGCGCCCCCATCCCCACCACCCGCCCCAAATGTATATAAAGAATACGTCTGTCGACATTGTACATAGACATTATTTTGAGAATATTTATATTATTACAGTAAAACAAGCCTTAGTAAATCAGTAATTAATACACATACAGCTTGAATTTGCTTTTCCTGTCATTACCTGTTTACATCAATATTGACAAATAGGGTTGTCGATAATTCTTTTGTAAAAGCTTAGTATTTATCACCTTAATTCTGTACCACCTAAGCAACCACTCATTTTTGTATTTTCTGATCGAAGATCAGGAAATACAAAACTGGCATTCTATCTCTGACACAGCGGTTTAACGACAAACAACAAGTAGTTCTCAAAACAGCTTAAAACTAGCGATTTAAAAGAAATAAATATTTTTAATTTGTTACAAGTATCCAACAAATTACAACGCATTCAAAGTTTAAAAGTAGCGTTGGTTTATAGAATTGTCAATAAATGCATTACGGGGATGAATATGATTTTAATCAATTGACCTTTTCAAAAAACCTACCTAAACACCGTTTTCCGGTAAGTTACGGATTTAGCTCTGGGGAATTACACCACATGAAGTACATACACAGCTACATTATATTTCTGTTTTTCTATCATTATCTAACCGTTTTAAGGTAAAAAAATGATGTATTTAAAAATTATAAATATTCCTTTAATATCTATTGCTATATCTATTGCAAAATTTTCAAAAAATATATTGTTTATAATGAAAATCAATAAAATTAAAACAGCCGTAGTGGAATCTTCCATAAGGTTATTTTCTGTGTAAACTTGTGTCTTTGCTTTATTTTTTGTACATTCATACAATGATATTTAATTATTTTCTTACAAAGAAATAACTGTTTAATTTCACTTTAATTAAAAGAAAAGGCCAGAAACATGGAGTTCGTGTAGAAAGTACCGGAAAACGGCGTTTAGCTAGGTTTTCGAATTCGTGAATGAAAATGCTATTTTAGCGATGTCGATTACCGAATACTACTCATATAAATCTGACTGTTGAGAAGTGGAATATAGAGATTCTACATGTCGGACTGTTTTGGCGAGAAAATGTTCGCTAAATTAATTACATCAATTTTGAAGAACAATGTTTAATACCTTGTATTCATAAGGATTACAAACCAGAAATGCAATGGAAATTCTAAATTTAGAATTACTCGATTTCATTCAGGACATAATCGCATAACTTCTCCGTGATGCAAGGAACGCGCTGGAATATTGTGTGAGAGGTCCCGGGTTCAAATCCAAGTCGAGGCAACATTTTTAAAAGTTTTTTTTAAGTGTCTTTGTTAAGGAAGTAGCCACGATATGCAAGGATAAAGTGTTGCTGTCATAAAAAATTAACATAAACCATTTGAGTTATGCAAAATTTCGTACTTATTAAACTCTGGTGCCCTGCAAGATAAATTATAGTACATAAAAATAAACTTATACAGGAAAATACATACAGATAAACAGTACGATTTAGATTGCAAATATCATAAAATACCACAGAGCTTGCAACCCTTTGATTTACGCTAAGCGTTGTTTCTATAGTAGTAGTGTTCACACAGGTGGCAGTATCAGTGTTTGAAAACACCCCACCCCTATCTGCCCCTGGACTACTACTATAACCCTGAAAAAAATCAACACTCTTAAGGCTAATCATAAGGTACCAAATACAAAACCACCGATAATTTTTTGAAAAAAAAAAAACAATGTTTCCACTATCAAAATTATAGTTATGGAAAGGTGAAAAGCCTACTATATGTTCATTTGCCAAACAATGTGGAACACGGGAAATTCGGCGACTGAGGCGCTTTCCTAAGGCATTTCGCTGCATCATTCATTAACATCAATAAAAAGAACTTGAATTCCGCAGCTAATCTAATTCTAGTCGAACGAATATCAATATCATTCCGATTTGTTCTGTTGCACGTGATCTGTTTGCTTGTCGTAGCCATTTTGCAGTCTGATACCTATGTGCACGTTGTGTGTTCGTATGTGTGAATTTCTTTTAAGTTCATGGACGGAATTTAAAAAAAAACATTGGATGTTGGCAAGGACCAACTTGTCCATTACAATTTGCCTACTTTTGGAGACAAAAAACAAGAGCTGTCACGCAAGTGGCGAATGCCCCCGAAAAGGTTTCTTAAGCATGCAGGTATTATGAAAAGAAAAGAGAATGACTACTTACTTCAAAATCCCTCATTGCAGGACAAAGTAACAGTCTGGACATGATATTTGTGTAAGTGAGGACGGACAGACAGACATGAGCCTTAGCCATGACATTTATGACAAGTTTTTTCTAAAATCCTTTGATGCATGACAAAGTAACAGTCCGGACACCAATGTGTGTACCTATAAACTCTTATTATGATAAAGTGAACCTTCAAAATGTTAGTGTGACCTTGACCTTTGAGGTAGCGACGTGATTCCTTGATACGACACATTGGCATTATGTGGTTGACACATATGCCAAGTTATAGCAAAATTCTTTGACGCATGACAAAAGTACAGCCCGGACACGATTGTGTGTACCTATTAACTCTTACTGTGATAAAGATATTTTAAATGGTAATGTGACCTTGACTTTAAAGGTAGGGACGTAATTCTTAAACGCAACACATCCTTTTGATGTGGTTGACATTTATGCCTAGTTATTTTGAAATCCTTTGATGCATGACAAAGTTACAGTCTAGACACGAATGTGTGTACCTATTAACTCTATTTGTGATAATGTGATATGTGACCTTTACCTTTAAGGTAGGGACGTGGTTCTTGGGTGCGACACATTGCCCTGATGCAGTAGACATTTGTGCCAAGCTATTTCAAAATCCCTCAATGTATGACAAAGTTACAGTCCGGACACAAATGAAGTGGGGACGCACAGACAGACAGACGGACAAAGAGACGGTGCGATTTTAATATGCTTCCCTTCGGGGCATAAAAAGCGAAACTTCTTTTTATCTAACAAGTCTTGTAGCACTTAAAAACATATTAACTTTTTGTTTTTGAGTTTAAGTGGTATAATTATACAAACCTTCTATCTTTTCTGGCAAGTTTAGGAATCCTTCATCTTTCTATAAATAGAAGCAGTTTTTCATATAGTAAAAACAGCATTTTCTTAATAATTTTCCCGTCTGCTGCTTATATATTTAAGAACACATAAAAAGAAAGAAAGTCGCATTATACAGTCAAATACTAGTAAGAGGTACAATGCATGATTGCAGTCATAATTTCATATCACACACCTGAATTTATAAATTTGCATCGATTATGATTCTTTTTCATTAATTGTTTGAAATATAAATGTTAATCTTACAATATGATGCATATTCATTTAATCTATAAAACTCTAAGTAACTCATTCATACCTGAAGCAAGACCAAGAACCATTAATAGTATTAATGGTTATTTATAAAAATAAACATGAACAAATATCATTCTATGAATAGATAATCGCAAATGGTTATAATAACACAACAAAACTTAACATAACATATCATAACATAACATGACATAACATATTCTTCATTTGGCATAAAATGGCAAAACACATTTATAGCAAATTCAATTAACAATCATGTAATGGAAGAACATGATACATAATATAAAGACCTTAAAGAATTAATGTTTACAAAGTAAGTTCTTGGTGCTACAAAATTTGAATAAATTTAAGGTACTGTTATCTATTCTTATCATGGAAAAACATAATACATGATTTAACGACCTTAACAAAGTTGAAATGTTTAACAGAAATAAGTCACCTCAAATAAGTACTTGGTGCTACAAAACTTGAATAAATTGAATTGATAACCAGCGACAATAATATTTTTTAAGTATTTGCGACGTAGACTATAGTATTTTGGACAAACTAACAAAAAATGAAATTCATTTTCTACCACGTTAACATTGCAATTTGTACATAGTCTGTTTTCTCGTGCTACGGTTTCGTATCGACCCGTTTCTTTTGCTAGATTATGGTATGACAATCTAAATTTTGTAAGTGATATTCAAAATTTGTTAATGTAACTTTATAAAGATATTCTTCAGTTTCGAGTGAGCGTTTATAGATGTTGTATGACGACAGCTAACTAGAATTTCTTATATTGCTATACCATTCTTGCTTGTAAATATTCAGTGTTCTGTTCTTAATTTGTTGAAAATTGATTGTTATATGTTCCTGATTAATCCACATATTCGACATTCCTATCGCATTTGAATATGTTTAATTTGGCATGCTCAGTTGTTACCACAATAACTAAGCCCATTTTCTACATTATACATACATTTTAGCAGGAAGTCATTTTGTGAACGAGTTATTTTGTCCAGAATTTTAACATGATAAATTTAGAATGTATTCGCATGAGTGCCTACCAGTTTCGCTATAAAGACGATCCTGGTGTGTTGCTTTCTTAACACATAAGATTTTTCTGAGGAATTTACAATATGTATCATTTCTCTATTTTTTCCTTCTTGATATCCAAAAACGTCAGCACCATAGTTTAAAACTGAGCCTACCATACTATCAAAAAGTTTAAATTTATCTCCAAAAGGTAGTTCCTATTGATTAAACACTGAAAATAGATTGTGCCTGAAAACGACGCATGGTGAGCTAATTTCTTTTGAGTTCTATTTCAAAGACCATTTTTAAATAAATTAATTCCAAGATATTTAAACAATTTACATTTTCCGTACTATGTATATTTTATACTAAATTGTAATTTGCATGTTTGCCTTTATAATATAGTTTTCGTTTTTAAGTCCCTAAGTTTGATTATATACTTGTAACTAACTTAGCATAAATTGGAGTGCCATAGGCGTTTGTGCGAATAAAACATGGTCGTCCGCGAAGAGCAGCAGAAATATTTCGGCGTCGTCAATTTTAAATTGGAGTTAATATTTTCTAATATATCATTCACGAAGTATAGAAATAATAATGAGGAACTGGGGTCCTCTTGTTTCACGCAAATGTTTGAATAAGAAAACGACGAGACTGTATTGTATATGTTACAGCAGCTTTAAGGGATGTGTACAGGCATCTTATAGCCGTTACAAATTTTGAACATATATTTTCTGACAGTTACATGAACCACGGATCTGCATGAACATTCACTTATTGACTTTTGCATATTTCATTTATCTCCAAAGATATTTTCTTTGAATCCTTACAAAATACGGCAAATAAACAATATTGTCATAACAAACAAATCATTAACAAAATAGAATAAATAAGAATCCCTCATAAAGTCCAAAACGGTTTGTTTGAACCTGTTCTTGCAGGCAATGGAAAGTGCAAGTTACCGTCCATGACCCCTAGCACCGGCATATGCAGAATTCAACATTTAATCATGGTAATGGTGAAATTTTGAATTTAAAAAATCTTCGTGTTCATTCGACGGTAATCATGGGATCATGAAATGCGGCGTATGGTCCCCAAATAATAGAAAACACGTATGCTCTAAACATAAATCTGGAATTTTAAAAGGGGATCAGAGTTTATGAAGCCTCTTACTTTGAATCAATAAACCTTAATTGCCTTTATCACGATCACGAGGTGTTAAATACATTTGACGCCGTCTGCCAGTAATTCAGAAAAAGTCGACCAACAACTTTTGTTGTATTTTTGTGTTCGACCGAAAAGGTGTGATTTTCGCTATTTCGTCGAAGGGAGCAGAGATAAGGTTCGAGAGTTCGAGCGGTCGATGTTCGAGCGATCCGAGGTAGAACAACATGTATTATATCGGAATTTTGCCCGGAATGGTCGATGAGTTCGAGCGAATGGAGTTATTCAAGCGATTCGAGTTCGAGCGAACGAAGATACATGTATATAGTTCTATGTTCCCAATCAGTAAAAATGATAATCATTGTTGATTTGGGTGACATGATAACTACTTTATATGTAAATGTTCAGCCTATTTCAATGTAGATTGTTAAGGTATATAAAGCTGTACTGAAACCATAATTTTTGTGATGGTGGATTTGCATTGGCTATGATTTCGTGACTGGTCTGCTAGGCACCGTGTCGAAATTGCTCGTTTGACCCACCAGTGTGTTTACATTCCTATCAATAAACCCATAACAACCCATATTAAAACTGCAGACGAAAGTTTCAGTTGTTGAAATATCACAATACTCGGCAAACGAACATTTCACTCAAACTACCATAAAACCGATTGCCTTCAAACGAAATTTAGAACAGCAAAAATTCGGGAAATCCGAGTCGAGTAGAGCTAAAGACTTAAATATTCACGGTAGAAATCGGTGCAATCATGTCCGTAAAAAAGAAAATCGGAAATAATCTACGAAAAGAAAATTTCAAAATTGTTAAACAATTCGTAAAAATGGTCTACTCAAATATATTCCATAACTTTTTAAGAGTGTAATTTGTTGTTTAAATATGTTTGCATTTCATTTCCTGCAAAATTATTATTCGTTATTTATTACCTAGCGCGCCGCGAATGACCATTTCGTTAAAGTAAACTACTTGTATCAATAGATTTTCGGACTTTCACAATGTTACGGTCATCATTCTATTGATAGCTTCGAATTAAATATCATAATAACCCACTGTGTACTACAAAATAATTAAAAAATTTCCTGTAGAAGATACAAAATGTAAGAAATAAATTACCAAATTTGAGTTTATTTTTTGTTTTGTCTTTTTTACTGCCTTCCCAGCGTGGAGGCGTTAATTTGTTCCTATTCACTTTCAATGATAAGACATGATGTGATTCGCCGAAGGGCAAACCATTTTATGACTATTCATAATAGAAATTGAAAGGAATTCTACGTTCCATAATTATTTTTAGCTGTAAATCGAAGGGATTAATTGATAACAATTGGGTCCATGGAAAACACAAATAGCATTGAGCCTGTTTCTATGTTAAAATTTTTGCCATTTCATGCTTAAATGTAGAATTCTGCTTCCCCGGTGCTAGATGGGGGCATGGACGGTAGTTTGTACTCGACAGTACCATTTTAAAAATCTTAAAAATGCATCTGTTCCCGTTTTATTGAAAATTCTTTATCAAACGGCGATTAACGCCTTACTAATGCGTCAAAACGTGTGTGTACATGTATTTAAATTATGAGCGAGTCTTGCCTAAGAGTATCAGTAATTTTTTGATGTTGGAGGTTAGTACAAGAAACAGATACAGACAAATTCTCAAATTCCAAAAGTCTTTTTAGTGTCAAGTGTTTAAGCACTCATATACGGGGCCTCGATTAAACGTTTCACCTTAAAAACTGATAAGTTATTTAAGTTGATCAGCCCGGGAATCGAATCCACAATGAAGAGAGTACAAGTATCGCGCTCTAACCGTTTGAGATATACGGGCTGGCTTGGTTTGTATGTGTCTGTGGTCATCCACCAATCAGGAACACATACCATATTACTGTCTGGCTTCCATACTTTCGAGTTCACAATAAGAACAAGGGGGCATTGGCCCCAATGCGCTCACCCGCATACTAAATGCAATTGATATACAAAAGTTACCAGGTCTTAAATTCAATATAATATATTATACCAAATATCTAAGCTCTAAAATAACAAGAATAAGGCAACGTTCACAGGACGCCTTGTACCTTTAAACATGAAGTCTTGTACCTTCAAACATGAAGTCTTTTATCAAGCAGCTGAAAAGCAATTGTTTCTGGTGAGTGACTCAGGGCAATCATGGGCCCTCTTGTTGTTAAACACCAAATATCTAAGCTCTAAGACGTGTAGGTTCAGACAAGAAGACTTTTTAAGTTTTTACTAAATACATATAAGGAAAACCTATGACCCCTGTGACGGGGCCACTTTTAACCCCATGGCTGCAACTTGAACAACTTTGGTAGAGGACCTTTAGGTGACATCATATACCAAATATCAAAGCTCTAGGCTTTTAACCTTCACACAACAAAAATGGTCTAAGTTTTAACGAAATACATATAAGGAAAACCTATGACCACCGGGGCGGGGCCAATTTTGCCCCAGGTCTGTAATTTGAAACACTTTGGTACAGGACCCATGGATGATACTATTTACCAAATATATAGGCTATATATATATAAATAAAGAAAACCTATGACCATTTAGGGCGGGGTTAATTTTGCCCCAAAACCAATTATTTGAACAACTTTGGTAGAAGACCTATAGATGATATTAAATACAAAATATCTAAGCTCTAAGACGTGTAGGTTCAGACAAGAAGACTTCCTAATTTTTTACGAAAAACCTATGACCCGCCTGGGACGGGGCCAATTTTGACCCCAGGGCTATAGTTTGAACAACTTTGGTAAAGTATCTATAGTTGATATCATATACCAAATATTAACGCTGCAGACCTTGGACTTTTAAGCAAGAATTTTTTTTAAATTTGCATTTTTAAACTTCTTCTCTGGCCCCGTGACCTACTTATGCAACAGACCGGAACCATTTGAACAATTCTGGCAGAGGACCACCCAAGGATCATTCCTGCAAAGTTTGGTTACTGTGCAGTTATTGGTTTTTGAGATGTTGTTTAAATAAATTGTTGACGACGCACGACGACGGGCGGTGGGGGATCACAATAGCTCACCATGTGCACGTTGCGCTCAGGTGAGCTAAAAAGTACAAAATAAATTAAAATATGTTGTTAATTGTGAGTTTTTCAATGTAATTTTGTGTTAATGTTCTGATTAAGAATACTTAACTCTGTATTGTTTTGTTTAATTTCAGACTTGAGTGTTTCCTTTTCTTCCCTTAACTTTTCAATTTCGTCAACCATTTCGTCTGTCTCACTCCGTTGCGTTATTACCTGCAATATTGAAAAAAAATCCATTAATAAAATGATTGCCGACTACTTGTTTGTGTGCATGTGTCATTGTGTGTTCTTTTCTATTCAAATACAAATTTACATCATTATTTTATCATAGGTTTAACTTAAAATGTAGACGTTTTATACATTTGAGACGACATTAATTTAAACTTAAGAACATTATATCTACCGATTAAGTAATTAAATGCATCAACCCGAAACAAATTTAATATAAAAATGTCTACAAAAAAGTATGATCTTATAAAGGGTACAGCAACATTTTGTATTACGCTTTTGAAAAAAAGGAAGTTAAAAAATAAATATGTATTCGATACACAATGATAATTAAGTAACTCCCAGAAATTTTTTACGCTTTACAGTCATTTTCAGTTAAATATATAGAGTATGACGTTTTCAGCCGATCAATCAACTTAAACTTTTGAAACAGTTTTCGTACCCTTCAATGGTATACTCATTAGATACTGGTAAATGGCAGAGCAAGGAGCATTTCCTGATTTGTATTGTTTTCCAGACATGTGACATTTTTGGGGAACAAGAAATAGTCACAAGGAGCTAAGTCTTGTGAAAAAGCGGGGTGGGAAAGGACAGTGAGCTTTTACGCCTTCAAAAACTCCGTTACAATTCGTGCCTTGTGGGCTGTTGCACTGTCCTGAAAGAGTCTGAGGTACTTCAAACCTGTTTGTGGAAGGCGGCGTTTATATATATCTTAAGTTTGCGAAGTACAACGTCTCTATAATATTTGCCAACAGGTGCCAGTTCTAACTTTCGGCACAGGAATTTACACGACTAGGCCCTTGCTATTAAAGAATATAACATACAAAACCTTTCCCGCGGTTTTTATTCTTTTAGCAATGCTAGGGTGCCTTGCGTTTTTGGTGGCCAAGATATAACTAGAGCATTTTCGTTTGGGTTCGAAAAAATACACCCATGTTTTGTCACCTGTGACTAAATTGCCGAAAGTCTTTTTGCTGTATTTCGGGTATTTTTTCAACAACAGTTTGACCTTTTCAACTTGTGTCCTTTTTTGGTTGTTAGTTAGTAAATGTGGTATCCACCTAGTATTAATCTTACTAAGCCAAAGATTTTTTTCAAAATGCAATGGACACGTGCTAAAGGCCAGTTTGTCATTCTACTTTGTTGCCTGACAGTGTATCTTGCGTCTTTCTTCAGGATTTGTCGAATTCTTTCAATGTTATGTTTTATCATTGTTGTTGCAGGACGGCCTGTGTGAGCAGCATCTTTCAGCTGCTAGTGTCTTAATTCGACCAACCCACCTACAAACAAACAGTCATATACGACATTTGACCGTCCCTATAATAACACTCACGTCGCAATGAATATCCTTCGGCTTTAAGCCAAGCAGAGACCTACCTTTGATATAGGCCCTAAATTCAATCAATTCTCTTTCAAATCTTATTTATAAGAGTGTAACTAGTACGCTGCAAAACAATGTACACAGTACCAAAATATGTTAACCAAGATCAACAAGGAAAGGCGGCGTTCAATGATCAAGGTTAGTGTAATTGTGAGCGAGATTTTGACCCATACTACTCTCCAAGTATCACTATCGACATGTATTGGCTTTGAGTGCATATAGCACGATTTCCACGAGATAGAACTCGAGTAACATTAATTTTGGAACACATCTCTTATATGCAATGTTAAGAATGAAATTGATAGATATGATAGTTCATATGTGCCGTGTTGTCGCCATAGAATACAATCAGATATGTCATAGTTTCGATACTTGCACATCGTTCAGAACGACATTATTGTTTTCTCTGTGTTGCCTTTTTATTAGTTGCCTGATTTCCAATGTTCTTTAAAACTATAAAATAACCCTAAGGTTATGCTGCTTACTTTTTTATACCCCCGCACAACAAAATTGTAAGGGGGGTATACTGGAATCAGCATGTCAGTCCGGCCGTCGGCCGTCCGGCTGTCCGGCCGTCCGGCGGTTTTTTCTTGTCCGACCAATAACTTAAGATTCCTTAGACCCACAGTCATCATATTTGGCATGGAGGTAAGTCATGATAAGTAGATGACCCCTATTGATTTTGAGGTCGCCAGGTCAAAGGTCAAGGTCACAGGGACCTTGACTTCAAAAAGCTTGTCCGCCCAATAACTTCAGATTCCCTTGACCCACAGTCTTCATATTTGGCATGGAGGTTGCTCATGATTAGTAGATGACCCCATTAGAGACTTTGAGGTCACCAGGTCAAAGGTCAAGGTCACAGGGGCCTTGACTTCAAAAAGCTTGTCCGCCCAATTTCTTAAGATTCTTTTGACCCACAGTCTTCATGTTTGGCATAGAGGTTAGTAATGAATAGTAGATGACCCCTATCGACTTTGAGGTCACTAGGTCAAAGGTCAAGGTCACAGGGGCCTTGACTTTAAAAAGCTTGTCCGCCCAATAACTTAAGATTCCTTTGACCCACAGTCTTCATGTTGGGCATGGAGGTTATTCATGATTAGTAGATGACCCATATTGACTTTGAAGTCACCAGGTCAAAGGTCAAGGTCACAGGGACTTTGACTTCAAAAAGTTTGTCTGCCCAATAACTTAAGATTCCTTTGACCCACAGTCTTTATATTTGGCATGGAGGTTAGTCATGATTAATATGTGACCCCTATTGATTTTTGGGTCACTGGGATAAAGGTCAAGGTCACGGGGCCTTGACTAAAACAGATTGTCCACCCATTATCTTAAGATTCCTTTGACCCACAGTCTTCGTATTTGGCATGGATGTTGATCATTACCATAAGGTGACCCCTATTGATTTTGAGGTCACTGGGTAAAAGGTGAAGGTCACCGGGACCTGGACAAAATAATCTTTTCCCCTCAATTGCTTAAGAATGCCTGTCCGCAGTGTATTGTTTTTGACATTTTCACATTTGAAGCACGTAGAATACATAACTTAGCAATGCACTGGCTTAGTAACTTCAGATTTGGCAGGGAGGTTGTCCTTGAGCTTTGAAGACATTTTCTACAGTTTTATGAAAATTTAATCCTTTCATAGAATTTTCTTAATTTTTTGTATGATAAGTAAAATTTTATGGCGAATTCAAAATTAAAAAGAAAAATATATGTTGACGTGTTGGATTTCTTGTAAAATGGCAGTTTCCATGGTAACCATATATCTAAAAACTGTTAATATAGCCAAAGTGTGTTATAACAAATAGAAAATGTATAAGATAGCTTAATACACACAACAAGCAATGTTTTATGCAAAGATAACCTTATCCAATGATTCTGTATGAAACAAATGATAATCTAAACATATTTCTTAAAAAAATGAGTTTTCCGTGCTCCTTAACTGAACAAAAAATGAGAAAAATAAACATGAATTCTGTGAATAATTAAAGATATTGAAAAATTTGTTTCATAGGATTTTCTAATTTTTTTGTATTTTGTGTAAAATTTAATGACAAATTCAAAAATTAAAAGAAAAATATATGTTGGCGTGTTAGATTTTTTGAAAAATGGTAGTTTCCATGGTAACCGTATATCTCAAAACTGTCAAAATAGCCAAACTGTGTTAAAAAATGTACAAAACAGCTTATTACACACACAATTAAACATATTTTCAAACAAAACTTGCTTTATTTAAGGGTTCTGTATAAAACAAACGATAATCTGAACATATTTCTTTAAAAAATGAGTTTTTCATGCTTTTTAACTGAACAAAAAATGAGAAAAATAAACATGAATTCTGTAAATAATTCAAGCTATCAAGAAATTTCTTTCATAGAATTTTCTACATTTTTGATAAATCAAGTAAAATTGTATGGTGGATTCAAAAATAGAAATAAAAATATATGTTGACGTGTTAGTTTTTTTGTAAACGGGCAGTTTCCATGGTTACCGCATATGCCAACTGTCAAAATTACCACGCTTTCGTAAGAAATATCAGTGTTATACTAAATGCATTGTCATATATACAACAAAAACAAGTTGTATTATAAATTTCTATTTCTTTTGATGTTATAATAAGATATGATACTAAATATTTTTTAGAACAGGTTATAAATTAAGGCCATATTATTTCTTCGACCGACTAACATACCCGAACAGTAAGCAAATAATCAGAAATTTACAAAGAAAATAATAAAAATCGGAACATTTCTTCGATATTATTTTTGTTTTTTATTCAACGTTTTTCTAATATATCATTTTAAACTTCTTTGCCCACTTGTCTGCAATAATCAAAAGGCAACGCACTTTCGTCATTATACCACGAGTGGGTGGGGTAACGCGCGCAGAATCATCATCAATGCTGTCGTACTAATGTTAGGAGAAATCCTTTATCTGATGTTGTCTAAACGTTCTCTTATTCTTTTGAATCGATCTCCTCCTGAACATTTAGAAATATCTATTTTGTATTATTTACTCATTATTTGCTTGTGGCCGAAATTTAAACAGTTATCCGAGTACTATTAAACTTGACCTTCTTTTTGAAGAGTAATTATCCGTGATTATCTTTCTTGGATGCGCATAACGATGCGCACAAAAAACTACCGAAAACGTCTTTAAATGGCGGTTTTTCTTGTCCGACCAATAACTTAAGATTCCTTAGACCCACAGTCATCATATTTGGCATGGAGGTAAGTCATGATAAGTAGATGACCCCTATTGATTTTGAGGTCGCCAGGTCAAAGGTCAAGGTCACAGGGACCTTGACTTCAAAAAGCTTGTCCGCCCAATAACTTCAGATTCCCTTGACCCACAGTCTTCATATTTGGCATGGAGGTTGCTCATGATTAGTAGATGACCCCTTGACTTTGAGGTCACCAGGTCAAAGGTCAAGGTCACAGGGGCCTTGACTTCAAAAAGCTTGTCCGCCCAATTTCTTAAGATTCTTTTGACCCACAGTCTTCATGTTTGGCATAGAGGTTAGTAATGAATAGTAGATGACCCCTATCGACTTTGAGGTCACTAGGTCAAAGGTCAAGGTCACAGGGGCCTTGACTTTAAAAAGCTTGTCCGCCCAATAACTTAAGATTCCTTTGACCCACAGTCTTCATGTTGGGCATGGAGGTTATTCATGATTAGTAGATGACCCATATTGACTTTGAAGTCACCAGGTCAAAGGTCAAGGTCACAGGGACTTTGACTTCAAAAAGTTTGTCTGCCCAATAACTTAAGATTCCTTTGACCCACAGTCTTTATATTTGGCATGGAGGTTAGTCATGATTAATATGTGACCCCTATTGATTTTTGGGTCACTGGGATAAAGGTCAAGGTCACGGGGCCTTGACTAAAAAATATTGTCCACCCATTATCTTAAGATTCCTTTGACCCACAGTCTTCGTATTTGGCATGGATGTTGATCATGACCATAAGGTGACCCCTATTGATTTTGAGGTCACTGGGTAAAAGGTGAAGGTCACCGGGACCTGGACAAAAAAATATTTTCCCCTCAATTGCTTAAGAATGCCTGTCCGCAGTGTATTGTTTTTGACATTTTCACATTTGAAGCACGTAGAATACATAACTTAGCAATGCACTGGCTTAGTAACTTCAGATTTGGCAGGGAGGTTGTCCTTGAGCTTTAAATGGCCACTGTTGATTCTGACAAAGTGGTATGCGGGGGTATTCACGCCATGATATTGGCAGTTCTTGTTGTTTTTGACCCATTTTTATTGAAGTATTATCCAAATTTGTACCTCGCCTTGTTAAATTTGTCTTTTGACAGTTTCCATGATATGCAGGCTTTACAACCCTTGTTCCCCTTTCAAAATTCCGTTTTATTTAGTTTTCCTAATTTCTTACTGGTAAACCATAGGTTTCCGTTCAGGGAATTGCACTTAAGCGACATTTTGAAAGTTCAAGGATATCTGTCGAATGAATATATCTGCAGATATAAATAAATTTTCAACAGTCTTATGTTTACCAATGAATTACTGTGGTGTCACTTGGAGTGAACGGCAGCTTGCACTTACTAGTATCGCCAATAAGTATATATATATGGTCTGTTTGATTATATTGAATGGATGCAACATTTTCAAAATAACAATTATAGACAATAAACCCGCAAAAAGGTTTTGTTATTTTAAATAGATTTTGAATTTCTTTGGAGATAAACTAAAAAGTACTTTTTGTTTCAGACAGTGATACAGATTTTATAGTCACTATAAAAGCATCTACCAATTTCAGTTAAGAAATCGTAATTTACTTTACATCTGCGGATGTTTCTAAGTTCAAATCTTTGCAATTTCACGCTTAAATGTTGAATTCTGTTTCACCCGGTGCTAGGATGGGCATGGACGGTAGTTTTCACTAGACTGTACAGTCCAATTCAAACTCAATCAAACCCAGCCTGCAACATTTTCAATTTTGCCGTTTTGAACTTTCTTTAATGTTCTGTTTTTCTGTTTTCTAATATATCATTCACGAAGTATAGAAATAATAATGAGGAACTGGGGTCCTCTTGTTTCACGCAAATGTTTGAATAAGAAAACGACGAGACTGTATTGTATATGTTACAGCAGCTTTAAGGGATGTGTACAGGCATCTTATAGCCGTTACAAATTTTGAACATATATTTTCTGACAGTTACATGAACCACGGATCTGCATGAACATTCACTTATTGACTTTTGCACATTTCATTTATCTCCAAAGATATTTTCTTTGAATCCTTACAAAATACGGCAAATAAACAATATTATCATAACAAACAAATCATTAACAAAATAGAATAAATAAGAATCCCTCATAAAGTCCAAAACGGTTTGTTTGAACCTGTTCTTGCAGGCAATGGAAAGTGCAAGTTACCGTCCATGCCCCCTAGCACCGGCATATGCAGAATTCAACATTTTATCATGGTAATGGTGAAATTTTGAATTTAAAAAAATCTTCGTGTTCATTCGACGGTAATCATGGGATCATGAAATGCGGCGTATGGTCCCCAAATAATAGAAAACACGTATGCTCTAAACATAAATCTGGAATTTTAAAAGGGGATCAGAGTTTATGAAGCCTCTTACTTTGAATCAATAAACCTTAATTGCCTTTATCACGATCACGAGGTGTTAAATACATTTGACGCCGTCTGCCAGTAATTCAGAAAAAGTCGACCAACAACTTTTGTTGTATTTTTGTGTTCGACCGAAAAGGTGTGATTTTCGCTATTTCGTCGAAGGGAGCAGAGATAAGGTTCGAGAGTTCGAGCGGTCGATGTTCGAGCGATCCGAGGTAGAACAACATGTATCATATCGGAATTTTGCCCGGAATGGTCGATGAGTTCGAGCGAATGGAGTTATTCAAGCGATTCGAGTTCGAGCGAACGAAGATACATGTATATAGTTCTATGTTCCCAATCAGTAAAAATGATAATCATTGTTGATTTGGGTGACATGATAACTACTTTATATGTAAATGTTCAGCCTATTTCAATGTAGATTGTTAAGGTATATAAAGCTGTACTGAAACCATAATTTTTGTGATGGTGGATTTGCATTGGCTATGATTTCGTGACTGGTCTGCTAGGCACCGTGTGGAAATTGCTCGTTTGACCCACCAGTGTGTTTACATTCCTATCAATAAACCCATAACAACCCATATTAAAACTGCAGACGAAAGTTTCAGATGTTGAAATATCACAATGCTCGGCAAACGAACATTTCACTCAAACTACCATAAAACCGATTGCCTTCAAACGAAATATAGAACAGCAAAAATTCGGGAAATCCGAGTCGAGTAGAGCTAAAGACTTAAATATTCACAGTAGAAATCGGTGCAATCATGTCCGTAAAAAAGAAAATCGGAAATAATCTACGAAAAGAAAATTTCAAAATTGTTAAACAATTCGTAAAAATGGTCTACTCAAATATATTCCATAACTTTTTAAGAGTGTAATTTGTTGTTTAAATATGTTTGCATTTCATTTCCTACAAAATTATTATTCGTTATTTATTACCTAGCGCGCCGCGAATGACCATTTCGTTAAAGTAAACTACTTGTATCAATAGATTTTCGGACTTTCACAATGTTACGGTCATCATTCTATTGATAGCTTCGAATTAAATATCATAATAACCCACTGTGTACTACAAAATAGTAAAACAAATTCCTGTAGAAGATACAAAATGTAAGAAATAAATTACCAAATTTGAGTTTATTTTTTGTTTTGTCTTTTTTACTGCCTTCCCAGCGTGGAGGCGTTAATTTGTTCCTATTCACTTTCAATGATAAGACATGATGTGATTCGCCGAAGGGCAAACCATTTTATGACTATTCATAATAGAAATTGAAAGGAATTCTACGTTCCATAATTATTTTTAGCTGTAAATCGAAGGGATTAATTGATAAAAATTGGGTCCATGGAAAACACAAATAGCATTGAGCCAGTTTCTATGTTCAAATTTTTTGACATTTCATGCTTAAATGTAGAATTCTGCTTCCCCGGTGCTAGATGGGGGCATGGACGGTAGTTTGTACTCGACAGTACCATTTTAAAAATCTTAAAAATGCATCTGTTCCCGTTTTATTGAAAATTCTTTATCAAACGGCGATTAACGCCTTACTAATGCGTCAAAACGTGTGTGTACATGTATTTAAATTATGAGCGAGTCTTGCCTAAGAGTATCAGTAATTTTTTGATGTTGGAGGTTAGTACAAGAAACAGATACAGACAAATTCTCAAATTCCAAAAGTCTTTTTAGTGTCAAGTGTTTAAGCACTCATATACGGGGCCTCGATTAAACGTTTCACCTTAAAAACTGATAAGTTATTTAAGTTGATCAGCCCGGGAATCGAATCCACAATGTCGAGAGTACAAGTATCGCGCTCTAACCGTTTGAGATATACGGGCTGGCTTGGTTTGTATGTGTCTGTGGTCATCCACCAATCAGGAACACATACCATATTACTGTCTGGCTTCCATGCTTTCGAGTTCACAATAAGAACAAGGGGGCATTGGCCCCTATGCGCTCACCCGCATACTAAATGCAATTGATATACAAAAGTTACCAGGTCTTAAATTCAATATAATATATTATACCAAATATCTAAGCTCTAAAATAACAAGAATAAGGCAACGTTCACAGGACGCCTTGTACCTTTAAACATGAAGTCTTGTACCTTCAAACATGAAGTCTTTTATCAAGCAGCTGAAAAGCAGTTGTTTCTGGTGAGTAACTCAGGGCAATCATGGGCCCTCTTGTTGTTAAACATCAAATATCTAAGCTCTAAGACGTGTAGGTTCAGACAAGAAGACTTTTTAAGTTTTTACTAAATACATATAAGGAAAACCTATGACCCCTGGGACGGGGCCACTTTTAACCCCATGGCTGTAATTTGAACAACTTTGGTAGAGGACCTTTAGGTGACATCATATACCAAATATAAAAGCTCTAGGCTTTTAACCTTCACACAACAAAAATGGTCTAAGTTTTAACGAAATACATATAAGGAAAACCTATGACCACCGGGGCGGGGCCAATTTTGCCCCAGGTCTGTAATTTGAAACACTTTGGTACAGGACCCATGGATGATACTATTTACCAAATATATAGGCTATATATATATAAATAAAGAAAACCTATGACCATTTAGGGCGGGGTTAATTTTGCCCCAAAACCAATTATTTGAACAACTTTGGTAGAAGACCTATAGATGATATTACATACAAAATATCTAAGCTCTAAGACGTGTAGGTTCAGACAAGAAGACTTCCTAAGTTTTTACGAAAAACCTATGACCCTCCTGGGACGGGGCCAATTTTGACCCCAGGGCTATAGTTTGAACAACTTTGGTAAAGTATCTATAGTTGATATCATATACCAAATATCAACGCTCCAGACCTTGGACTCTTAAGCAAGATTTTTTTTTAAATTTGCATTTTTAAACTTCTTCTCTGGCCCCGTGACCTACTTATGCAACAGACCGGAACCATTTGAACAACTCTGGCAGAGGACCACCCAAGGATCATTCCTGCAAAGTTTGGTTACTGTGCAGTTATTGGTTTTTGAGATGTTGTTTAAATAAATTGTTGACGACGCACGACGACGGGCGGTGGGGGATCACAATAGCTCACCATGTGCACGTTGCGCTCAGGTGAGCTAAAAAGTACAAAATAAATTAAAATATGTTGTTAATTGTGAGTTTTTCAATGTAATTTTTTGTTAATGTTCTGATTAAGAATACTTAACTCTGTATTGTTTTGTTTAATTTCAGACTTGAGTGTTTCCTTTTCTTCCCTTAACTTTTCAATTTCGTCAACCATTTCGTCTGTCTCACTCCGTTGCGTTATTACCTGCAATATTGAAAAAAATCCATTAATAAAATGATTGCCGACTACTTGTTTGTGTGCATGTGTCATTGTGTGTTCTTTTCTATTCAAATACAAATTTACATCATTATTTTATCATAGGTTTAACTTAAAATGTAGACGTTTTATACATTTGAGACGACATTAATTTAAACTTAAGAACATTATTTCTACCGATTAAGTAATTAAATGCATCAACCCGAAACAAATTTAATATAAAAATGTCTACAAAAAAGTATGATCTTATAAAGGGTACAGCAACATTTTTGTATTACGCTTTTGAAAAAAAGGAAGTTAAAAAATAAATATGTATTCGATACACAATGATAATTAAGTAACTCCCAGAAATTTTTTACGCTTTACAGTCATTTTCAGTTAAATATATATAAGTATGACGTTTTCAGCCGATCAATCAACTTAAACTTTTGAAACAGTTTTCGTACCCTTCAATGGTATACTCATTAGATACTGGTAAATGGCAGAGCAAGGAGCATTTCCTGATTTGTATTGTTTTCCAGACATGTGACATTTTTGGGGAACAAGAAATAGTCACAAGGAGCTAAGTCTTGTGAAAAAGCGGGGTGGGAGAGGACAGTGAGCTTTTACGCCTTCAAAAACTCCGTTACAATTCGTGCCTTGTGGGCTGTTGCACTGTCCTGAAAGAGCCTGAGGTACTTCAAACCTGTTTGTGGAAGGCGGCGTTTATATATTTCTTAAGTTTGCGAAGTACAACGTCTCTATAATATTTGCCAACAGGTGCCAGTTCTACCTTTCGGCACAGGTTTTTACACGACTAGGCCCTTGCTATTAAAGAATATAACATACAAAACCTTTCCCGCGGTTCTTATTCTTTTAGCAATGCTAGGGTGCCTTGCGTTTTTGGTGGCCAAGATATAACTAGAGCATTTTCGTTTGGGTTCGAAAAAATACACCCATGTTTTGCCACCTGTGACTAAATTGCCGAAAGTCTTTTTGCTGTATTTCGGGTATTTTTCAACAACAGTTTGACCTTATCAACTTGTGTCCTTTTTTGGTTGTTAGTTAGTAAATGTGGTATCCACCTAGTATTAATCTTACTAAGCCAAAGATTTTTTTTCAAAATGCAATGGACACGTGCTAAAGGCCAGTTTGTCATTCTACTTTGTTGCCTGACAGTGTATATTGCGTCTTTCTTCAGGATTTGTCGAATTCTTTCAATGTTATGTTTTATCATTGTTGTTGCAGGACGGCCTGTGTGAGCAGCATCTTTCAGCTGCTAGTGTCTTAATTCGACCAACCCACATACAAACAGTCATATACGACATTTGACCGTCCCCATAATAACACACACGTCGCAATGAATATCCTTCGGCTTTAAGCTAAGCAGAGACCTACCTTTGATATAGGCCCTAGATTCAATCAATACTCTTTCCAATCTTATTTATAAGAGTGTAACTAGTACGCTGCAAAACAATGTACACAGTACCAAAAATATGTTAACCAAGATCAACAAGGAAAGGCGGCGTTCAATGATCAAGGTTAGTGTAATTGTGAGCGAGATTTTTTACTTTTTGTTACTTTTTTATACCCCCGCACAACAAATTTGTAAAGGGGGTATACTGGAATCAGCATGTCAGTCCGGCCGTCGGCCGTCCGGCTGTCCGGCTGTCCGGCCGTCCGTCGGTTTTTTCTTGTCCGACCATTAACTTAAGATTCCTTAGACCCACAGTCATCATATTTGGCATGGAGGTTAGTCATGATTAGTGGATGACCCCTATTTATTTTGAGGTCACCAGGTCAAAGGTCAAGGTCACAGGGGCCTTGACTTCAAAAAGCTTGTCCGCCCAATAACTTCAGATTCCTTTGACCCAGAGTCTTCATATTTGGCATGGAGGTTAGTCATGATTAGTAGATAGCCCCTATTGACTCAGAGGTCACCAGGTCAAAGGTCAAGGTCACAGGGGTCTTGACTTCTAAAAGCTTGTCCGCCCAATTTCTTAAGATTCTTTTGACCCACAGTCTTCATGTTTGGCATGGAGGTTATTCATGATTAGTAGATGACCCATATTGACTTTGAGGTCACAAGGTCAAAGGTCAAGGTAACAGGGACTTTGACTTCAAAAAGTTTGTCTGCCCAATAACTTAAGATTCCTTTGACACACAGTCTTCATATTTGGCATGGAGGTTAATCATGATTAATAGGTGACCCCTATTGATTTTTAGGTCACTGGGTCAAAGGTCAAGGTCACAGGGGCCTTGACTAAAAAAGATTGTCCACCCATTATCTTAAGATTCCTTTGACTCACAGTCTTCATATTTGGCATGGATGTTGATCATGACCATAAGGTGACCCCTATTGATTTTGAGGTCACTGGATAAAAGGTCAAGGTCACCGGGACCTTGACAAAAAAATCTTTTCCCCTCAATTGCTTAAGAATGCCTGTCCGCAGTGTATTGTTTTTGCCATTTTCACATTTGAAGCACGTAGAATACATAACTTAGTAATACACTGGCTTAGTAACCTCAGATTTGGCAGGGAGGTTGTCCTTGAGCTTTAAATGGCCACTGTTGATTCTGACAAAGTGGTATGCGGGGGTATTCACGCCATGATAGTGGCAGTTCTTGTTGATTTTGACCCATTTTTATTGAAGTTTTATCCAAATTTGTACCTCGCCATGTTAAATTTGTCTTTTGACAGTTTCCATGATATGCAGGCTTTACAACCCTTGTTCCCCTTTCAAAATTTCGTTTTATTTAGTTTTCCTAATTTCTTACTGGTGAACCATAGGTTTCCGTTCAAGGAATTGCACTTTAGCGACATTTTGAAAGTTCAAGGATATCTGTCGAATGAATATATCTGCAGATATAAAAAAAAAATTCAACAGTCTTATGTTTACCAATGAATTTCTGTGGTGTCACTTGGAGTGAACGGCAGCTTGCACTTACTAGTATCGCCAATAAGTATATATATATGGTCTGTTTGATTATATTGAATAGATGCAACATTTTCAAAATAACAATTATTGACAATAAACCCGCAAAAAGGTTTTGTTATTTTAAATAGATTTTGAATTTCTTTGGAGATAAACTAAAAAGTACTTTTTTGTTTCAGACAGTGATACAGATTTTATAGTCACTGTAAAAGCATCTACCAATTTCAGTTAAGAAATCGTAATTTACTTTACATCTGCGGATGTTTCTAAGTTCAAATCTTTGCAATTTCACGCTTATATGTTGAATTCTGCTTCACCCGGTGCTAGGATGGGCATGGACGGTAGTTTGCACTAGACTGTACAGTCCAATTCAAACTCGATCAAACCCAGCCTGCAACATTTTCAATTTTGCCGTTTTGAACTTTCTTTAATGTTCTGTTTTTCTGTATTTTAATATTGACTTTCTTATGAAGTTATGCATTTTATAGGTTCTTTGCTGTTTTCATTACAATACTCTTAATGCTATATTATTGCATCGATATTCTTTTTGAGATAATTGATTGATTGATTGATTTTCTTTAGACCGGGCGGTCAAGGATAACCTACGAAAGTGCAAGCACTTATTTCCAGTAGGGTCCTTACCTCAGCAGACACAAGAGACAGCTATGAGATACAAGGAAATCCGGGAACCAGTCCCTAGCTCTTATTGAATAGATTCCTTGGTTCTTTTACATGCCCAGTGTATAGCACTGATACATGCGACGATTACCTGGGTTTCGTACCAGTAAACCTCTAGTTAGGTGGGAAACACTGAAAGTGTTTCTGAAAAATCCCAAGGGTGTTACCCAGGATCGAACCCGGAACCTCAGGAGTGACAGTCAGTGGTCTAACCAACTGAGCTATCGCGCCACCTAATATTTGCAATGTTGTTTGCATTCAACCGGCGTTGCTTTTTATCATATTTGTCGATTATCGCATCGTGCGGCGATTTTTCTCTGATGAAAAAAGAATAAACAAGTCACTGGACAAACCTAGACAGGACAATAACGAATACATTTCTATATATTCAGATTTTGGATATTAATGAGACACTTATAGTTAAGACAAAGTGTTATCTGAAGTATGAACGTACGTGTTTTTAAACGTTTGAACGGAGACATAAGCATGAATATACAGTCATAAATCTTAAAATGCATTTTTTCCCATGTTATTGAACATTCTTTATCAAACGGCGGTTAACGCCTTAATAATGCGCCACAACGTGTGTGTGTGTGTGTGTGTGTGTGTGTGTGTGTGTGTGTATTTATATTATGAGCGAGCCCTGCATGACTGTTACAGTCGTTTTTTTAATGTTGGAGGTTAGTGCAAGAAACAGATACAGAAAAATTCTCAAATTCCAAAAGTCTTTCACTTTTTAGTGTCAAGTGTTTAAGCACTCATATACGGGGCCTCGATTGAAAGTTTCACTTGAAGATTGATAAGTAATTTTAGTTGGTCAGCCCGGGAATCGAACCCACAATACGGTTGGCTTATGTGTCTGTGGTCATCCACCCAAACAGGAACACACACCATATTACTGTCTGGCTTCCATGCTTTCGAGTTCACAAAAGAACAAGGGGCCATTGGCCCCAATGCGCTCACCTGAGTACTAAATGCAATTGATATACGAAAGTGAAGTTACCAGGTTTTAAATTCATTTTTTTAAGTTTTTACTATATACGTAAAAAAAAAAAGGAAAATCTATGACTCCCCGGGCGGGACCAATTTTGATCCCAGGGCTATAATTTAAACAGTTTTGGTAGAGGACCTATAGATAATATATTATACAAAATATATAAGCTCTAAGCCCTGTACCTTCAAACATGAAGACTTTTTAAGTTTTTTTCTTAATACAAATTAGGAAAACCTATGACCCCCAGCGGGGCAAATTTTGACCCCAGGGCTATAATTTTGAACAACTTTGATGAAGGATCTATAGGTAACATCATATACCAATTGTCAAAGCTCTAGGCTTTTAACCTTCAGACAAGATAGTGGTCTAAGTTTTTACTAAATACATATAAGGAAAACCTATGACGCCGGTGCGGGGTCAATTTTGTCCACAGGGCTATAATTTAAACAACTTTGGTACAGGACCCATAGATGATATTATTTACCAAATATCTAAGCTCTAAGCCTTGTAACTTCAAACAAGAAGATTTTTAAATTTTTACTTTATACATATAAAGAAAACCTATGACCCTTTGGGGCGGGGTTAATTTTAACCCAAAGCCTATTATTTTAACAACTTTGGAAGAGAACCTATAGGTGATATTACATACCAAATATCTAAGCTGTTAGTCTTGTACGTTCAGACTTTCAAAGGTTTTACTATATAGATATAAGGAAAACCTATAACCCATGGGAAGGGGCCAGTTTTGACCCCAGGGCTATAATTTGTTTAAACAACTCTGGTAAAGTATCTATAGTTGATATCATATACCAAATATCAAAGCTCTAGGTCTTGTACTTTCAGGCCAGTAGATTTTTAAAATTTGCATTTTTAGCTCCGTCTGTCGTCAACAATTGCCTTCTCCTCTGAAACTACTAAGCAGATTTACTTCAAATTTGGTCTGTAGTATCCTTGTGCCAGTCACACTGGAATTTGCTCATGTAATTTAAATTGGCCCCTTTTAGGGGTCAGAAGAGCTTAACATAGAAAAACCTTTAAACAACTTCTTCTACAGAACTTATAGATGGATAATCACCAAACTTTGTCTGTAGCATACTTGGATAGTCTTTTATCAGGTTTGCTCATATTAATTTGATTGGATTCTTTTAGGGGTCTCTAGGGCTAAAATAGAACAACTTTTAAACATCTTCTTCTACAGAACTTATGGATGGATGTAAACCAAACTTTGTCTGTAGCATTCTTGGGTAGTCTTTTATCACAGTTGCTCATATTATTTTGATTGGCTACTTTTAAAGGTCGATAGGGCTAGAAATAGAAACCTTTAAATATCTTCTCCTACAGAACTCTCAGGTGAGCTAAAAAGTAAAAAATATTTTTAAAAAACTGTTGTTTATTGTACGTTTTTCAATATAATTTTGTTCTGATTAAGAATACTTAACTCTGCGTTGTTTTGTTTAATTTCAGACTTGAGTGTTTCCTTTTCTTTCCTCAACTTTTCAATTTCGTCAACCATTTCGTCTGACTCCATCCGTTGCGTTATTACCTGCAATATTGAAAAAAATGCCATTAATAAAATGCTTGCCGACTTCCTGTTTGTGTGCATGTGTTATAGTGTGTTCTTATCTATTCAAATACAAATTTACATCATTACTTTATCAAAGGTTTAACTAAAAATGTAGACGTTTTATACATTTGAAACGACATTAATTTAAATTTAAGAAAACTATATCTCCCGACTAAGTACCTATATGCACCAACTCGAAACAAATTTAATATAAAAATGTCTACAAAAAATGATGATCTTATAAAGGCTACAGCAACATTTTTGTATTACGCTTTTGAAAAAAGGAAGTTACTAAGTAAACAATGAATATGTATTCGATACACAATGATAATCAAGAAACTCCCAGAATTTTTGTACGATTTACAGCTATTTTCAGTTAAATATATGTATATAAATTGTGCACATGCTATTTGTCTGTTGTGTATATATGTCAATAAGTATTTGTATTGTATTGTATTTTATACGCATTCACACTTTCGGTAAATGTAAATCGTAACATACTATTACTTCCTCGATGGCCCTTTCTGTCCCATCTTTTAGGTCTTCTAACTTTGTATATTCGGCGCTGTTTTCATCGCATTCCATTTGATCCAATTTTATCGCATCAAATTTCTTTTCTAAGCTTTCTTTTGATTTTCTTTTGTATTCAGCGAGCTTCATTTCCAGATTTGTGTTTGTTGTAGACTATAGTGCATTCAAAATGCATATACAAATTTTGTAAAGTAATGTCAACATTTACATTTCACATTTATTGAAGCAGATTAGCAGATCATAATTCCGTAACATGTTATACAATAGACTTAAACTGAAATAGTAATAAAAACAATGCATATATATATTATAAAGATTTACAGACGTTTAAATCTTTAAAAATATTTGATAATTCATTAAAACAATCATGGAAAGTAAAATAATATTACACACATCTAGGTAGAGTGAAAAGGAATGGTTATTTACACAAGATAACCAATTTTGAACAGTTTGCCAAAGTTAAGAACATTTTGCAATACGTCAATGGTAAATATCATATTGCCATTTATATTTCAGTTTTAACTCAAGCTTAGCCTGTATATGAGGGGTGTTCCAAAATTAATGTTACTGTTGTGTTTTCTCTTTGATATAAGTCGTTAAGATCATTTTAACTTGTTCTGCCTCTCAAAGTATTCACCCTCTACCCTCATGCACGTTTTCAACCGATCAATCCACCTTTTTAAAACAGTTTTCGTACCCTTCAATGGTATACTCATAAGATACAGGTAAATTACAGAGCCCAGAGCATTTCCTGATTTGTATTTTTTTCAAGACATGTGGGGAACAAGAAATAGTCACAGGGGACTAGCTTGTGAAAAAGCGGGGTTGGGGAGGACAGTGAGCTTAAACGCCTTCAAAAACTCCGTTTCAATTCGTGCCTTGTGAGCTGGCGCTATGTCCTGAAAGAGTCTGAGGTACTTCAAACCTGTTTGTGGAAGGCCTGCAGGTGCCAGTTCTACCTTTCGGCACAGGAATTTGCACGACCAGACCCTTGTTATTAAAGTATATTACATACAAAATCCTTCCCGCGGTTCTTATTCTTTTAACAATGCTAGGGCGCATTTCGTTTTTGATGGCCCAGATTCGACTAGAGCATTTTCGTTTGGGTTCGAAAAAATACACCCATGTTTCGTCACCTGTGACTAAATTGCCGAAAGCCTTTTGCTGTATTTCGGGTATTTTTTCAACAAAAGTTTAACCTTTTCAACTCGGGACCTTTAATGGTTGTCAATTAGTAAATGTTGTATCCGTTTAGCATGAATCTTACTAAGACAAAAAAAAAATTCAAAATGCAATGTAAACATGCTATAGGCCAGTTTGTCATTCGAGCTTACTGCCTGTCAGTGTATCTTGCGTCTTTCTTCGGGATTTGTCGAATTCTTTCAATGTTGTGTTTTCTCACTGTTGTCTGTGTGAACAGCATCTTTCAGCTGCTGATGTCCCGACTTAATTCGACCAACCCACCTACAAACAGTCATATACGACATTTGACCCTCCCCATAATAACGCACACGTCGCCATGAATATCCTTCGTCTTTAAGCCAAGCAGAGACCTACTTTTGATATAGGCCAAAATTTCAATCATGTTTTTCTGCTCTCTTTCCAACCAAATTTGTGTGAGTGTAACGAGTACGCTGCAAAACGATGTACACAGTACCAAGGTTAATGTAATTTTGAGCACGATTTTGACCAATACTACTCTCTAAGTATACGCTATCGACATGTATTGGATTTAGTTCATATAGCACGATTTTCACGAGATAGAACCCGAGTAACATTAATTTTGGAACACATCTCTTATATGCAATGTTAAGAATGAAATTGATAGATATGATAGTTCATATGTGCCGTGTTGTCGCCGTAAAATTCACTGTTATACAATCAGAGATGTCATATTTTCGATACTTGCACATCGTTCAGAACGACATTATTGTTTTCTCTGTGTTGCATTTTAATTAGTTGCCTGATTTCCAATGTTCTTTAAAGAAAACTATAAAATAACCCTAATGCTATGCTGCTTGATTTTAAACTTGTCTTTTGACAGTTCCATGATATGCAGGCTTTACAACCCTTGTTCCCCTTACAAAATTCCACTTTATTTAGTTTTGCAAATTTCTTACTGGTAAACCATCAGTCTCCTTTCAAAGAATTGCACTTAAGCGACATTTTGGAAGTTCAAAGATAACTGTCGAATGAATATATCTGCAGATATAAATTTTTTATATTACCAGTCTATGTTTACCAATGAATTACTGCGGTGTCATTTGGAGTGAACGGCAGCTTGCACTTAATAGTATCGCTAAAAAATAGAACACTCTAACTGAGTTTTCAATATATTCAATTGTGCCATATTTAAAAATTACTTTTAGTCTCTTATTGTGACATAAAAATAGGTTATGTAACTGTAAAGCGTACCCTTAATCCAGTTATACTTTCAAGCATATCTTGTAAGCGTTTACTCTGACTCTTGGCCGGTAGATTGTCCTCCTTGATATTACTATTTAATTCAACGGCAAGGTGTTTTGCATTTAGCACATCTGCTAGAATTCGTTTACAGTCCTCTGACTGATATCGTAAAACAAAGTCGTTCTCTGAAAGCTTAAGAATAATAAATATCTCTTAAATTAAATTGTTTTGCAAACAATGTAAAACATAGAAAACATGAACTTTGAAATAAAGACCCCCATCAACTGAAATAACTTTAAATACCATTAAAATATTTTGTAACTGTATTCACTTAAGACAGACATTATATCAGTCATAGTGGCGTTTTTCGGCTATCAAATACCGGTTTGACCCCTAAGGCCGTATATTTTTTCGTATCAAAACCACAGACTGATATTATTCCGACCAAATAAGCTATTTTTCAAACGGTTTTCATATTTCTCTGTCCTATTTCATACCCTATGCTACTGTCACTTATGTTATAACAAAAGAAGTAATGAGACGTTTAAGTATCGTACATTTGCACATTTTTAAGTATTATTCTATCAATCTTTCAATAATTTAAACTTACGTATCACACTGGACATTAAGATTTATGGTAGATAGTTATAAAGCCATCATGTAAGTTTAAAATAGCATAATTCTAGTGCCTTTAATGATTGAGTTGCGTGTTTAGTTGATGTCATTACGCGCTTAAAGTATTCCAACAATAATCACATCGACGGAAATAGGTAGAGATAAAATTCAATACTTGCAGCCTTAGCGCATGTGAGATGTTATTTTATGATTATGATTATGAGATGAAGAACATGGAAGAAACGGATAGCACCAAAAATACTGCTTTATTTATGCTGCCTTTGTTTATATATTCTTGAAATTAGTTAGACAGCCGGAACACATTTTGTCTTGTCCGGCTGTTCAGGCTACTGCGGCTAGCTGGAATCTGGTTCCGGTTGAACCGGCTAGCTAGATCTGATACAGTTAAACATCTGCAAAAGTTCATTGTTTTATTTCATATTGTTATAATATATCACCCTGACCTCCTGCTACAATAACCGGAATTACGGCTACTACTGATTGAGACTGTGTGTCGTGTATGGACTGTATGTAAATGGCCATATCAGCTCGTATCGCCAACTTTCCGGCTGGTCAGTGTGTGAGAGACGGTCTCAATACATCAGAACCCAATATAGTGTCGTGGTTAGGGGATTTGACCGTTGGTTAGCTGGCATGGGTGTGTCCGTGTGTAAATGGTAATTTCAGTTCATATTTTACAATTTCTGGCTGGCCCATGTGTGCCCAAGGCTCTAAACCGTGGAACTCCATATGTTTGGATTTGTAAGGGGGTCTGGTGGTATAGGTGTGTCCATCGGTTTTTGCCGAAGTTTGGTCAAAAACCGAACTTGAATGGTCTCGCCATTTCCGACTGGCCCCTATGAGACCATTTGGAAAATATAAGGTTTTCCGTAGACGATTAGCTGAATAAAAATTGTCATATCTGCTTAATCTCACCATTTTCAGCTGGTTCCTGTGATCCTCCAGATCCACAGAAAGCCATAAAGTTGCAGGCTTAGGGTTCCGACAGGGTATTTGTTGTTATACTCGCCATTTGTGAGTTAAAAGCTCAATTCTACAGAGCCTCATATGGTGACATACTTGCGGTTCAGACTATTTATTGGTTTGTATGTGTCCGCTGGAATAATCCCGTGTTTTGTTGAAATTGAGCCGAAATGATGACTTTGATCTCGTGTTTGGAAATCAAATGTTTAGTTGAGATACCTTTTCATTTTAACGACTTAAGCTGAAAATGAACTGCAATGGTCATTTAATCTCAAATCTTAGAATTTCCATGAGCCTAAGGCTTAAAACTGCAGAACGACTAGAGATAAACTTATAAGGTAAATGCCCCTTTTCTGCTGGAACACGACCGTTTGAAATAGTCTGGTACTTTGCCGACATTTAAGCATAACTTAACGAATGTAAATTATCGAAATCTCACTCTTTTAATCACATCTTTTTATATATTTTAAAAGACATCTGAATGAAGTATGTGAGCACAACCAATGCCCCTACTGAAGATATTATCATTTATACAATTAAATAGCATGTTCAACTTATCTATTGTGCTAAATCAAGCTGTCCGTTTTTCAATATGAAATGCATTCAACTGAAATTCCATATGATAAGTGTCTGAAAACATATTTTGTACAACAACATGAAGGACCATAAGCACCTGACAACCAATTTCATTATGTAGAATTCACTTCGAGTAGTGACCAAAGGGATATCATTGATCAGATGCGGTTTGGGACATCCCGCAGTCAGTATATTTTTAAATTATATCGATAATAATGTGTCCTGCTGTGATTTTCTCATAAACTATTTAAATAAAATGCATGTTATACACGATATTGAATTTATTTTCGTCACGTAAACCTTCTCTGTTTGGCTTTTTCCCCGTTAATAAATTGCGACGATTATTATTATATTCGAATTATCTTTTCTTTCAAATATGATCAATAAATATAATAACAATCATACATCAAACATGTCCTTGGTTCGTTATGCAATTTCACAACAACCATTTATAAGATATTTTAAAAGTATGTGGTTAAATAAAATGTCGTCAAAGTGAAGGGCAAATCCGAAAAAGAAATTTCAATAGAAGACAGAAAGGGGGTAAAAAACGTAAACTAACAGAAATGATACTAAGGAAGAATTGACTTCGAATATTAAAATGTTCCAGAGAATAACTTATTTTCTTAAAACAGTCTCCTTTTTTGATTCGTCGTTATTTAGTTTGGGTCAATTGAAATCAATAGGATATTTTTTCGTTTGAGTGAAATATGGAATACATTTTCAAGAAACATGATAAAATTCCATATATTTTCACGAGCCGGAACGGCGAGTGAAATATCTAGAATGCTATCATGATATACCATATTTCACGAGAAATGTAAAAATAACCTTTTATTCAATTTCACATTCAAGAAAAAGAAAACAATGAAAAATGTTAACGAAAACTTCAATTTGTTACACAGTTGCAATTGTACGACACGCAGTACTATATTGACTACTTAAAGGTGAAGGATTCAATTGACAATTTATAACAGCAATCTGGAACTGTTTTGAAAAAGCATAACCTGATAATTTCTGATAATGAATTTAGTCATTTATATTGCAAGGACACAGTTAACATCCGGTCAACAGCCATGTCATCTATAAATAGTTAAACACCATCTTTTCAAAATGGTAGAACCATATATTAAAATAGCATCACCATTTATAGAGACAACATCATCATATATCAAGACTACCATAACACAGAAATGTGATATAATTTCTTCCCAGCATCGTACAACTATTGTGAGTAAAGTACGTACAGGGCATTCTTAAATGAATAATAGACATCATGTAATGATGACTTACCCCTGAATAACTTGAAAATAGCCCGAGGGTTATATAATGTTACACAAGCTTTGTATACAAATAAACTGACATCATGTTATAAAAATCATCATGATATAATTATAAATTTGTATAACTAGCATCATGAAATAACAAATAGACATCATATTAACAAGAGCAGACATAAGATGGCGCACTATAAATGGCAAAATAGCAGTATATATAGTAATAGTATAACGAAATTGAACACCATAATTATATTGATTGTTCTGCACCCATTTACAATATATTTAAATCTTTTAAAAGCTGTGCTCATGCTCATGTTCAGTCAGTCATGGCGTTCCATAAGTTCATGACTATAAAATTACAGCCACATATACATGTTATACATACAGTGGCAGTTTAGCACCTATCTTTTTTTCTTCATGTGACAAAATCACGAGTCATGTTAGATTGTCATATTGACATACTTCAGATATTACTTACGTCTAGCAGTTCTTGCACAGCATTCTTATAATACATTTTCTCAGCTATATCGAGACAATCCAGAAGCTTCCTTGTACATTGTAATGTACTGCAGGTTTCGATATCCGTCATCTTATTGTCCGGTGAGTGCATGAACTTATTTCTTGATGCTAACACCTGTAATATTTTGTCTAGTAAGTATGCTTGTTAAGTATTTTAAAAAACAAACAATGACTTTATTTATATAGATGAAATGGCTGAGAATGGATTACTTGACACTAGTCATTTTTATTGCTTTATTCATTTTATTGGACAAAAAATGGAGGCAATCTGTCTGGTTACTTTTCGTTCTCGTAATAAGTGAATATTTCATATAATTTTAATCGAACATTATAATATAAAAGCAATTTACCTCCTCTAATGGTTCGTCCAAGTCATTTGTAGATATAAGTTTACAATTTCTCATTATTTTGATAACATGCGTTATATCGAGACAGTCTAAACTGGAAAATTGTTTCATAACTTCATCGTTTTCAATGTGCATATATAGCTTGATAACATTCCACTTTAACTCTTTGCAATGAAAGCCACCACCTACTACTGTTCCATTACTTTCTGACTTTCCTAGTGGCACCCATGTGTATTTTAATTTATGTCCTTGTTTATGGTTGTCAATGAAATAACGCATTATGTCCCTACAACTTTTATGTTCACATTCCCATCTTTTATCTGTTGAACCTCTTGATTTCATATTTAACAGTGATATATTGTTTGTTTTTAAACACAAAAAATATTGGTGTAATTTCTCATAGGAATTATTGATTAAAACGTTATCTAGTTTATCTGAAATACATTCACACAATGCAGTTCTTGTTGTGTTTAGTCCAAATACACCTTTTAACCAATTTTGAAACTCTTCATTGTAAATGTCAAACGGCATCTTTTCCTCTCAGTCTTTTATGTTACTTGTACCTTTTCTGAAAGGAAAATACGATTAAATATGACAAAAGTAACGAGACAACAACTAGAATATATTAAACAATTTTTTTCAGGTACAGTTCATTTCAAGTAACATGCATTATACAAAATTTAGCCTGTTATAATGAAAGCTATGTTTGCTTAACAATATACGTACGCATGTTGTGCAGTTGTTATTGTTATATGCAAATATTTATGTTTTTGAATAAAAGATAAAAAGATACATTTTAATAAAAAATACTTACTTTATATAAATGGCAAATGAACATAAATCACTAAAATGTGTAGCTGTATGATGCAATTAATCTATGTCAAAGCAAAATTTACTGATATTTCGGTCACAGTGATGAGTTAAAACTTGTACATGAACTTGTGATATATGTCTGTTATTAAAACAGTCTTATAAAAATATAAATTATAGGAAGTACTAGTAATCTATCTTCAGTTCAATATTTAGGCAGCTACTTCAAAGCTATCATGACTCTCTATTTTCCTCCAATAAAGCTGCAAATAGATTTTGATTTTAAATTTAACAAACATCATTTTTTGCGACTTGAAACTACACAGATAAAAAAAAAAACAAAAAAAAAAAAAATTCAACTACCATCATAGATAAAACACGAGTATACCTTTATAATGTATGTGTAAGAAGTATCAGTTTCGTTCGGCAATAAAATACCTGAAATAGGATGAATGTTCATACATAATGTTTAGGCAGACAATATACAGCATTTTAGTCCATGGGATAATACAGTGTATAATATATACTACAATTAAATCAATGTCAGGCTATGTCTAAAGTTCGTTTTAAAATAGGATTACGCATGTTAACTCTTACTATAAATAAGAAAACCCACCAACGACTTTTTACTTTTTTCTAAAAGTAAGCTGAGCACACTTTTTATGTCAATACATACGTTAATCTCATATTCTGATAAAAGCATTGTAGGTAATTGAGTTTGCACGCGACAGGCAGGTGTCATATGTCGCTTCTAATTAAAGGAATCCCGTTTTTCCATTAACTTTTAGGCCAAATAAATTGCATTGATAGCTTTAAATCCTGAGTATGGTGTTGATATGCTTTTATATGTAATTAACGATAGAATTATTGATGATTAATTACCTTAAAATTTCTTACCTTAATCTCATAATTATTTAGGAGTTTGAAAGTAATGACTCTTTTAAACTCTACATAGTAGTTATTGCAAAGATTACTAAACCTAAATTAGTTTTATTCTGCTTATTAGGAGAACTTTACAGTTTCCTAATTAGGCCTGACATCGTAAATTGCCATGTAATGTCAATACCTCCCAATTATCCTGTTGAGTTATAATGAGCATGTGTACTGTCGTAGGATGATAACTTGAGCCTTTGTTTACATAACAAAGACCAATATCAATGCGAAAAATAGGTTAGGCAGATCAATGCCACATCCTATAAAAATGAAAATAAAACTACATGTTATCATATGTCTTGTTAGCGCAGTAGGTAAAGCAACCGTGTTAGTAATGTGTTTTACCCGTACAGGCAGAAGTTCGACTACTGGTAAGACACTGTTTTTTTTTTACCTTAGAACAGTCACTTGTTCAGAAAATAAGTTTGACCGGGTTTTTCATATACATACATGAATATGAGATCGAATATTTTATTACACTACGATCAAAAACTACAAAAAGAAAATAGAATGAAAATAAAAAAATAAATATAAACTATAAAATATATATTATAAGAAGAAAACAAAAAAGGAAAACGAAAAATGATTAATAATAATGATAACAAATAGTGTAAGGAGAAAAAACTGTGATTATAAAATGGCACTAAGTTGGGTTCGAACCTGAGTACAAAACACTAAAAGTTACAATTACTCCGATCTATCGGCAGAGTCACAACGGTAATACACCAACGAGTCTGTAAGAAAAATGCTATATAGTATATGTAAGTGTTTACTTTTACGATATCGGATAATAATCCAGATAACCCCGTTTTTGGACTTTCCCATGTACCGTTTAGACCAAATTATCATCCTAGGACAGTAAATGTAGATTTAAGTGTATCATAGCGTTGACAATTTACAATACCGGCCTAAATATTAGTTGGAGCGTAAGCGTTATTTAAAGTATCGTCTTTGAAAACTAAAACTTTTCTATTGTTATATGATATCATAGAATCCTTACACGCTGACATTTATGGTTTTTTTTACAATTTACATTTTACTGCGTAGCAAACTGACTTGTAGGTCACGTATTTTTTCTGTTACAACATTTATTGATCGAATGCGATAATTCAATGGAGTTCTTTCTGATACACCAATATTACAATAACTAATTACAATGTACACAGATTGTCAAATAAATGTTAAAAATTTAAAAATAAAATATGAAAACAAATAATTGTTAGCGTAGTTAGGTGTATAGTTATTTTGGTCGATTGTGTCGGAAATTTAATGAAACACTCTTGGATCCGTTCCGGACATGGAAATCCAATAAATATGAGATTTTATTTTATTTTTAATATCTGGGTATCCTCTTAAATGCAAAGCTATTTTTGTTAAACTCCCCATAATATATGTTTGTTTATTTAGATATTGCAATAACGTAAAACAATCTGATGTATAGTAATATTTATACATATTCCGTCTTGACTTTCACATAAGAAAGTATTATTGTTTTTGCAAATTTAAATCTTGGATTTTCATTTATCAGATATCACATCATTCACCCAGTCATCTCCAATGTGGCACACACTTGTGAATCAGCGGTATAACAATAGTAATATGTATATACAACGCATGTTTAAATTGTCATGAACATTGCATGTTTTTTACTTTGCAATAAAGGCTAAAAAGAACATTGCATCTAAGCGAAATATTGTCCTTTCTCAGCTAAAATTCGTTTTGATGTGTAATTTAACAAAGTATATTGCTAGTAAATAACTAAAAGTGTACGAAAACAGTACAAAATAGAAGAGAACTCAAGAAATAATAATTCAGATTTTGTTTACACATTTAAGTAAAAATATATTCATGTAAAACTGTATGAAACTGAATAGCACTCGATATGGTAATTACTCATAAGTAACATTAGCTTACCTTGAAAAGATGTCATTTTACTCAATTTTCTAGCGTCTAGTATAAAATGCTAACAAAAATGTGGTACTTTAACTGCGAACTATAGTTGAATTATATGTTCATATTTAAATCTGTTGAACTGTTGAATTTTTTGATAGTATATTCATGAGCGCGTAAAATCTATTTATAAAGCAAGATTTTACGTCAATCTGAATTTCTCTATTTAAATCCCAGGGAAATGTCAATTCCGTTTTTAGAATATTCACAAAATCCAACCTATCTTTACATTAATCAGGCAGGATATTAACAATACAAGAAAATTTATTAGATTCTACAAATTTCCAGCTTTAAACTTTTCCCGCTATAGAGATCTCTACACACACACATACCTATTCAAAAAATGTAGGACACCACTAGATATAGATTTTCAAATAGTTGAAAACAAAAATACAACGTAAACTTACTAAATAAAAAATAAATCCCACATTCTTTAGAAATATCACTTGAACAAATGCCTTTCAAACCTAAAGTGGCACAAACCCTTAATTACGAAAAGTAAAAATTCTGATTAATTTAATATGGTGTTGGGGTCATATTATAAATATTAATTATGTACGTTCTTTTTATCTATGTTTAATGAGGATTCGTCCGTCCGTTAAAGCACAAAAGGCGTAATTGGCAGGATGAGATATACGATACTTATTAGTGATCAAAACAAAACAAAATTATAAAGAGAAACTCGCCAAAACTCACTAGATAAATGTCAGTTAACTGTTTGAGCCGGATTCTCAAGATTACTCTTCATATTATAGACATAATTTTCTGTGATATCATCTTCAGAAAAAGATTGCAGGAACCAGTACAAAAAAGAGAAAATCCTGCTTCCACTCGCTACCGTTTAACGCAAGTATTTACGACTGCAGTCAATTCATTAAATAAGGTTCAAAAATATTAAGGACAATTACTAAATATAGATTTTTAATGCTTTAAATAGATATTTATGGAAACATTGAATATGTTCGTGAAGTTAGCCAGACAGCCGGCTACTCCGGCTAGACTGAATCCGGTTCCGGCTATACAGGCTGGCCAGAGATGATACGGTAAAACCTGTGCAAAAGACCATCGGGTACTTCCATAATGTTATGTCAAATTACTTATCACAACGATCTCCGGCTATTACGGCTAGACAGAAGAACAGAAATCAAATCTACATAAGATGGAAAAAAATCCGACAGCAGATTGAAGAATATATGTGTCATGATTGTGTGTCCGGGTGTCCGCGGGTATAGGTGTGCACGTCGGGAATACTCTGGTATTCTGCCGACGTTGGGCCGAAAATCGTACTATACAGCTCATATCTGGCCAATTCCGGCTGGCCCCTGTTGGGACCAGACTCAATTACGCAGAACCGCATATGATGTGATGGTTAGGGGTCTGACTGCGTGTCCGCGGGTATAGGTGTGTCCGTCGGGAATACTCTGGTATTTTGCCGACGTAAAGCCGAAAATCGTACTATACCGCTCATATCTGGCCAATTCCGACTGGCCCCTGTATACCAGAGTTTTCCCGACGCACACACCTATTCCCGCGGACACTCTATCAGACCCCTTAACCATCCAACCATATGCAGTTCTGCGTAATTGAGTCTGGTCCGGGTGTCCGCGGGTATAGGTGTGTCCGTCGGGAATACTCTGGTATTTTGCCGACGTTGAGCCGAAAATTGTACTATACAGCTTATAACTGACCAATTCCGGCTGGCCCCTGTGGGGACCAGACTCAATTATGCAGAACCGCATATGGTGAGATGGTTAAGGTGTCTGACCGGATGTCCGCAGGTATAGGTGTGTCCGTCGGGAATACTCTGGTATTTTGCCGACGTTGAGCCGAAAATTGTACTAAACAGCTTATAACTGACCAATTCCGGCTGG